TAGATTGCTGTTATTCTGGGCGCATATTCTAACATTTCGCTTGTCCCGTTTAAGCTCTCATGCCTCGTTTTTTGGTCGATTAGTCTGTCAATAAGGCGTTGTCTTCTGGCTTGTCTGACGACTAAACGTTAGATCTGTTACACTACAAGTTCTCATCAACCATATAATCAACTCCGTTACACATATACTATATATTATGTTATACCTGGATGAGCCCATTCGGCTTTTACACTGGACTAGGTGCGATGTGTGTTGTGTAACTCATGGGTAGGGATGTCGGGTCCAACCCGAAGATTTGGGGTTCAAAGTTTCAGCAACGGAACAAAAAAGAACACAACTGACGAGTACCGACAGGAGCGAAACAGCTACCTAGTGTTTTTCGCCGATACAACAGTTCCAACACAATTGAAATGATGTCCTTTTTATATTTTTAATAAAAATCATATTAATGAATGGTAGAAGGGGAGGGAACTCCATGAACTAGGTGACCCCTTATTCGACTACGAAAACCGGTGAGTGACTGAAGCACAAATTTTGACTAGTCAAATTTACGACAGATAGCCATTGGATAGGCATCCATCCGAGTGAATTCGATTCCATGAGGAATTTCGTTGAGGAAACCTAAATGGCACTGTAGCTATTTATATCCCGTTACGTTCTTCCTTGTGACGTCACACAAAGTGACCATCACACCAATTTATCTATTCGTGTCCAGAAATGACGAACAGCGGACCATTCGAAAGTCAAACTTGAGTGATATATCCAAGCTATGATGTGATCACCTATAGTTGGTCTGGGTTCGATGAAAGCCCATTCGACACTAGCTATGCGACAAGGCCACATAATAACAAATTGTAGACTGCTTGAGGAACAATTCACCGGGCTGAATACAGACTTCTGTCAACCCTGGATCAATACCTCGTGTACTTGGATTAAGCAAATCGCATGCTATACTAAGACATCCCAGTCACCAGACGAGCACAAGGCTGCATCTGTTGCCTTACGTGGCTTCTCCTCGGAGGAGGAGTGCATTCAGTGGGGGTGGTGGTGATGAGAGTAAGTTATATGCTGCAATCTACAATTAGGATATCACTACTCTACATACCACATCATTTATCGGTCCACCACTCGAAGCATACTCCAACGTGGCCAGTCTGCGCAGACAGGGAAGCCAGGCAGAATTCAATTGAAGTATCCGAGCCGCCGGCATGACACTGAGCAGTTTTCGCACACCCGTGCTCACTCCGGACGGAACACATGTGGTCAACAGGGATCGGACTGTGGTCGCGTGCACAAGAGCGGGTGCATCATCACTTCCCAAACTGTCCAACAGCACGGAACACGGCGAAGGAGTAGAAGAGGCAAGCGTGGCATGTGGAACAGGCCCCGAATGACCTTGACGAAACGAGTGAGATGCGAATTGGCCGTACGGTGTGGCTGTACCGAACAGAGGCGATGGCATCGAGCTTCGCATGTCCACATCCTTTTTGCTTCCAAACACAGTACCGCTATCAGATCCGACGGATGAGTCGGGCCAGCCACCGGATAGATCGCTCAGCTTCAAAGTGTCTGTTATCCCGTTCGTAAGAGAAGCCAAACCATGTTCGACAGTCGAATGACTTGGAAGTTCAATACCCGGATCAGGTAGACCTTTGAGGATCGGATTTGTGGGGACGGTTTCACCTCCAGGTAGCTCAATTGATTGTTCCATCTCGAACGCAGAGCGCACGAAGTTTTGCACGTCTGATTTAAGCGCCGTAAGCTGAAGAAAAAACAGAAAAACTTTTGAATTAGCATTCACAAAATAACCCACTTAGAAATCGAGTACCTCAAAGTCTGACTGTGTTTCACCTTAGCTTTTTCTTCTCGTAGTTTGGTTTAGTACAAAGGTTGAACTATATTTCACTGCTGGCTTAGGATGATCTATCTATACGAAATGAGTTATAGACTGCGAAGCAGATTTTCTTTATCCTCAAGCTTATCCACAGTATGAGACTAATGTGTCGATTGAAGATTCACCTACTTCCTTGGTTCTCTGAATCATTTTCTCTCTTTCTTATTTAAGTGTGTGTTCCACGGAAATCGATAATCGCATCAGGAACAACAACCCGTCCGCAATATATGGCTTCCAACCCGTGGGTGGACAACTGCTTTTTCATTTCACCTTCATCTCTACCACTGCTGACTGTTATCTATTCAACTGAACTCTCTCGTCGAAATCGATATATCGTACATTTTGATGGCATTTGAACAATAGAAGCAAAAAATATAAGTAGATATCAGACCAGATGTGTTGCATCAGATGTAAGGCAATAGACCATTACGCTATACTACTATGCGATCTTCGTTCAACAATGGGGAGCAGTTATCGCAGGCAAGTTTGTTCGCTACTCGATTTGTTCTACGGATATCACAATGAGAAACTACGGCGAACTGTCAAATGGATTTATGTTACCGACCAGCTAGCTTCCAATTCACCGCGG